TTTGGTTGTTTAACTCTGGTTTTCTGTGAGGCCATGGCATCACTCCGGTCGAGCCGACCCATTTGCTTCACTTCAACATCTCGCAAGTATCATCAACTATCACTTCAGTTCCATTATTTATTTTATAGAAAAATATATTAGTATAGAAAAATCAACGTAGGTATTACACCGGTGCACTAAAAGATAATAATACTGTTAAGATTTGCATAAGGCTTAAGCCTTGTTAAAATGACAATTGATTTTCGTACAAGTGGTTTTTATTGGTTTTTTAGTATTATCGATTATTATGCTATCATTATGACTGCCAATCTTATATTAGATGTTCTTATCGTAAATCAATCGACAGACTTATTAAGAGGAACAAAGATAAGAACTACTTCATGCAATATTATGCAATATATTCAATTATAAGTATCTTATCTATATCCTTTTAGTATTAAACGAGCTGGTAGCACTCGTTCAGCAGAGTTGTCAGATGTCAGGTAGATCGGCAGGCGGTTTGGGATTATAGTCAAGGAAACTCGAATAATTGTCAGGCCAACCGATGCTACGGAGCGTCTTTAATACACTAAATAATATAACAATACATTATAATAATTTAAACTAGGTCATGTGTTCAGTGACGTCAAAGTGTCAAAGAACTCAAATAAAATGTACAATGCTAGCTTGTACAAGTATCTTTTCCTTTTTCATTACTCAACTACGGCAAAGCAAACTGAGGGTTGTTTGTGAACGATTTGCGGTCTTTTTTTAATTTTGTCATGTCATTGATCCTATTTGAATCATTCATTTTTAACTTACGTGGCTGAGGATTACCATATTTCTTATAGTTCCTAGGGTAAGACGTCGACAGTTCTAAGGCTATATCGTACTCGGAATTACCGTTAGAGGGCGTTACTAGGACAAAACAACTACATATTGTGGTATGAAGTACATTTATCATCTTGAGGCTCTAACCCAACTTCTAAGCTTACAGCGCGTTGCGTTCTGCCTTTTTGGAAAAGCCATCAGTACGTCGATTCTATAAAATTTGTTTTATTGTGAATCTTGTTCGAGTCCGAAGTGAGCGTCGAAGTGACTCGGAAATAAAATTTTAGAATGCCACTTTTAACGTCATCTCATACTTTATCTATCAAAATGTTGCTGTCAATTTAGTTCAACTTGCAAGTTTAGCGCTAGTTTACTACTACTCACGGCGGATTCAGATTCGAAGTTTAGAATGAAGTCTTACAGAATCACACTACAGATCGTCACAAAAACGGTCTACTAAAATCGGACTCGGAACGGAGTGCTTTTGAAAGTCCTTCTCGCCTCACACAGGCCAGGAGAACTTATTAGATGATTTCCTATCCCACTCCGCCATCAAAACATATCTCAATTTTAGTTACAACTGCCACCACAAATATGTGATTCGTACACCATCATTACTTTTCACTTCTAAAATACAGATGACAGAATTTATCAATTTATTTAAAATTTGTATTTCATTAATAACAATAAATGACATTTCACTTTTTATCACTACATTATCAATATTAATAGATTACTTTTTAAAAACTAATTATAAAACAACGGAAGTTTTTCGTATGTGCATCAAAATCACAAAAATAAAGTACCTATTTATATGTATGTGTTAGTCACAAAAAAGGTTGCTTTATAAATAAAACACACTTCTGTGACGAAACATAACTAGTATTATAATTCTAGGATCATAATTCTTTTTTAAGTCTATGATGATGAAAAAATTTGGTCTTCTGAGATGGAGGTATCAGAAATAGCCGAAAACTTCAATCCTTCTCTGCGTCTATTCGTTCGTCTTTTATGATAGTCTTTTGAGACCAGTAGCTCCAGTATTTACATTTTATAAATATTTATATACGATTACACAATATTTTCATCAACTTATAAAATCAAATTGTTTTTCGTTTTTCTAAAAGTCATCACAGATTCATTTTATTACTAATAAGTATCTTATTTGCATATTACCTGCATTTATATAGTAATACTAGTGTTCCATTAATGCCTATGATGCTATTTCCTAGAATGTCTTGCTAAATAAATACTAGTGTGATCCTGAATATATAATAATTTCTTTTTTTTTCACAAAATTCCAAATACCCATACAAAACAGACCTTGAAAATGTATTTGCGAAAAGCCAAAACAAATAGGGGCAGCGTGAAAGCAATAAAATAATATGAATTTGTTGAGAACATGTCTGCACATGTAAGTCTTATTTTCTTCAAGTTTACTTTCTTTAAGTTTTTAAGTTAGAGTTCACCATTAACACTTCTTAGTAATAGATTTACCGAAGAATTTTAAAAACACAACAGCTGACTTTAAAATCTTTCTATTTTGGTTAATGGAAGAGTACAACTTACCTGACTTAATAAGCTTTGAAAATAAAAACTAACATCCACTGACGTACTTGCTTACCAATACGTGATATTGCCACCTGTTGCCTATGTGAATTTCATTGAATTCGTTTTCCGAGCAAATATTTCTTACTCTGTGAATGGAATCAGCTGAGCTCAAGAGGGGTTGGGGTGAACGCAAGCATAACAAAGTTTCTGTCCCCTTCTGTCTCTAGGGAAAACTTTACCCCTGCCGTCTCTTTCTGTCGCGTCGTGGAAAATCAATAACCTCTTCGTAGAATCTGCTATCCTGGTACAAATGACGAAAATGGCGGATCAGTCAACGGTTTGGACTCGTAACTAGGGGCCTTGACTGTCATGTGCCAAGGCCCCAAGTGAAGTTTCAAGTATGAGCGGTTTTCTTTGGGCGGAATGTGCAGTTACCGGTTGGGAGGCCTAGATTTGTAATATTTGTATACTATTTTTTAAGATAATGAGAAAAATAAGAGGTTTCCTTGCACGACTTTTCCTTTAAGAAAATCTTAGAACACTTTAAAATCTTAGAAAAATTTACTTCCACTTGGAAAATCGCTTGATATCTTTTCAACGAACTTTCCTCGACATCTGACTTACTAGGCGCACAGATAGCCGAGGAGCTTAATAAATTCCATTCTCGCAACGGGGTTGATATACGTAGACATAAGCATAAGTAAGGGTGTATAGTTGAGGAGTAAAATATTTTCGCTACGAAGCTACGAAGACTTTAATAAAATGATGTTACAAATAGTTTTTTGTCAAAAATATTTATCGGAATTAAAATCGATTAGGTAATTGTTTCCGTATTAATTTTAGTATCATGCTTCGGCACGAATGGGTCGGCTCGACCGGAGTGATACCACGGCCTCACAGAAGACCGGCGTGAAATAACCACGTTGTGTTTCACCGTGCGAGTGAGGTTACTGGAGGCCCAATCTTCCCCTCCCCCGATCCTACCCCAATCCCTTAATCTCCAAAACCCTAATCCCTAAGAGGTCGGCAACGCACTCGTAACTCCTCCGTTGCGGGTGTCCATGGGTGGCGCTGATTGCTTACCATCAGGTAATCAGTCTGCTCATTTGCCGGTCTATTACATAAAAAAAAGTATTATAGAGCCATGGTCAAACATATTATGTAGACCTTACGCCGTATTTAATTGTATACAATATACCTAAGCATCTTCAACTTAATAAATATGAGATGTGATAAAGATAACCGACTGTCTTTGTATTAACATTGCGTTTATCAAAATTCAAATAAAATATTAATAATACTCTTTTTGTGTATTTTGTAATAATTTTGCAGTTTAAATAAATGGTGTCACGTTTTATTTTTTTCGTATATCCATGTTGCAAGAGGGTTCGTGATTGCGTTAGTCGTGAGGGTGGAAGAAAATCAATACTAGATTTCGACGCATGCGTGGTGCGTCGTCTTGCGCGCACCCCTTGGCAACGCTATCTCCTAGCACATCTGATCTCCTAGTACCGGCGCCCACAAATCTGAAATTTCCCTGCCCTCGTCGTCGAGTTTCCAGGAAGTGGATACCTTCAACTTCCGCTGTGTAGGGCGGCGCACCGTTTTCCGTTCTGAAATATCTCCTTGAGAGCCTTCGCGACGCTTTTCATGAATAACTTTTCAGTAAACTTTAAGGTTATGTTACTGCGCATCACGTCTGCGCAGCTCAACAAGTCGGCTCAACTTGTGAATGAGTTCTTTATCGTACCTACACAGATTGAGACACGTGTGTGGGTGGGATTATCTTTGTGTGTTTGTGATAGAGGTTTTTCTTAAATGAATGGCTAGTTCATTCATGTTTCAAGTTAAGTAGGGATTGTTGATTTATACTCGTATATCGTCGATATCAGTGATCAGCATTTCGAAATTAGAATGTGAAAATAATGAAACAAATGAAATTGTATCTATGTATTTATTCGTGAATATTAAATAAATCAATGAATATCTAAAAATTTTGAAATTAATTAATTATAATTTAATGTATCTTCCAGAATCACACGTTTGTTATCCTTATCACGTTTAATTATTCACTTATTAATAAAAAATCAACCATTCTATTAGTGATGGAATCTTTAATCGAACAACACTTTTAAACGTCAATTAATATTAATTGCACATGTCTTTTTACAAACATAATTAGGTACCTATATTCAATATGGAAATCGAATCCATTATGCAAATAGCAGTTGGGGAGATCGTGGGTTCACATTCACACCCCAACTGCGTCATTTCGTTTCAATTTTGTCACCCTACTAGTGATTAGTCGACACCCTTTTTGTCAGGGTCACACACGAGATAGCATTTAATTGGCAACTATCAAGTGAAGATAATTGTATTGATAATAATTTAAAACTAACAAAATGTCTTGTTTACAACTAACACCAGGAGGTATGTTTTATTCAAAAAATGCATTTTTTTATAAAATGTTTTATTTTATGATGATTAAGTTTCGTTCTAAAACTTTAGCTTGCATTGGTGTCGACAAAAATGGCGTTACGACTGAATTTGTAACCATGGCAACCAAATCGGTCCAGCCCAATGACGATATCCACTATTATATAGTGTATTCTCTTTGGTCCAGCCGTTTATGTGTGAAACAATAACAAACATACATACATCAATAAATTCTTACAAACTTTAACATTTATACTATTAGTAGGATAGGATAGTAGGATCCTTAGAGACCGGATTTTGACATCGGCCTAGCAACTAATTAAAAATAAAATACACTTAAATTCTTATAATTAAAATTTATTTCTTCTACTTAAATCTAATATCATAATTTAGAAGTGTTAAAAATACTTATTTTATATAAATAAATAACAAATAATTTTTACCTTTATATTAATCTGAATTCACTTTCAACTGGTGTCTCTTTGGTATATCAATCGCAAACTCATCTATTTAACATATATACAGTAGATTACTATAGAAACGACTTTTGGAATTAATGAAGTTAATTTAGTTTCCGTATTAATATAATACAATTGAAGTAAAAATCGGATCAGTGCTGAATTAACAACAAAGTCAAAACAATAATTAGTCTAGGGCCCGCGGATAAGAGGGGGCCGCCCCGCCCATAAGGTCCGAACATAAAGAACCTGCTTATAATGGTTCTCCGTATAACGAAATTGTGGGAGAGCCAAGCTTCGGCACGAACCGCTCGACCGGAGTGACACCACGGCTTCGCAGAAAACCGGCGTGAAACAACCATAGAGCGTTGTGTCGCCGTGTGAGTGAGGTTACCGGCCCAATCACTCCCCCAGTCGCCAACCTTTCCCAATCCTTAAATATCCGAAACCCTTATCCCCAAAAGGCCGGCAACGTGCTCGTAACTTCTTTGGTGTTGCGGGTGTGGTGTGGTGGGAAAGAACCACGGACGTGCTTTTTTCTTTTGATAATGCATATACATACAGATATGTTCAAGACGTTTTGTTATATAATTTTCAACGAGCTTCAAGAAAGCAATATCGACAGACCTAAATCCGCCACTGTACCGTTTTCTATGAATTATTTTGGTATACCTAAAAGACTTGTTAATAATATTTACAATTAGTTAGTACTCAGTGTTAATTTACCTATAGGGTAATTAGTAAGAGTATTTATTATCTTCACACATCCTTCAAGCTCTCTTCGTAAACAGAATTGACTAGTTCTGTCCAGTACAAGTCTGGTTGTAACCGGTTCATACCGGTTCGTGGGTCTCGTTCTGTGTGGACTCCACTACAATCTTCTTGTGTGGTATTCTCTTCTTGTTTGGTAGCGTAAGACAGAAGAGGGAATTTACTGGAAGATAAGAAGATAATTATGGTTAGTTTACATATTGAAGTAGTTTTCTAGTAACTCATGGAAAGCAAATGTGGGAAAGCTATGCTTCTGCATAAGTTGGACAGCTCTACCGGAGTGATACCAAGGTAGTGAGAACAACGCCTGCGTTGGGTTTCCTTGAATGAATAAGGTTACCGGATACCCATTCCCTGTCTTCATCCCCAATCCCCAAATATCTAATCCGGCCACTCGTACCTTCACTATTATTGTTTACCATCAGGCGATCCGTCTGATCGTTTGCCATATGCTATAAAAATCATAATGTCTATCACACATCATACTTTTAGACACTTGATTTTAAAGTATATGATTGCTAAAAACTAGGTTTTGTTTTTGAATTTGTTTAGTTCTTATAAGCAAATGAAGGTCTTAGGTTTAACAGTTTTTAAAAATGTACATATGTTTTTCTCAAACAGTTATTTCGAATTATTTGTGTGAGATAAAGAGTACAACTACCTACAGCGTCTACAAGATTCTGGAACATTATTCAATTGGTAATATTTAATGTCCAACGCCACTTTAGCAAGTCATGCTTGCTTCGGAATCAATCTCTGTGAATTAACTAGGTACATCACATGTTATTGGCGTAATGATGATACTATTTCAGTTACTCTTGTTGGTTGGATTCGACGAATTATAAAATATAACGGTGGCCATAGCTGTGGGGCTCTACCCAAAAGTAAGTATATTTTTTAAGGACGTCGCTCTTCTACTCTTGGATTTAGTCTTGTGTCGTGAGAGCGTTATTAAAATACTGTGACTGCCTAGCGAACTGTTATTTTCCTGTTCCCAATCTGAATTTAACAGATTTTTAACCTAACTGGTCTTACTCTGACTTATGAAATTAAACAAAAATATGTTTTCGGTTTGTAGGTACCACTATTCACAAAAAATCACATAGATTTTCTTTTTATGAACAAGGCACGATAACATTTAATTCGATTGTTTTTTCGTTGCCTTACCTATAATAATGGAACCAAACAGGTAAAATCCTGCTCCGCAGTTGACCTCCAGGAACAATCCTATGAGATTGGAGCCCACCATGGAGCCCACTCGACCCATCATCATGGACAGACATATCGCCATAGCTCTGTAAATTATAAATTTGTGACATTAGTTTCATTTGGACCAAGCTCTGTTTGATAAGTGAAAAGATGTAGTATGTTGTGTTTTGTTTACTAGGGATAGGTTGTATTAGGCGTTGCACTATGAGGTATCCGGACTATCCGGAGTTGGTTTAAAAGAGGACCCAGAATCCCATATTATAGGTGATTATGGTGGCTAACAAAGTGGTTTAATAGAAAAAAGGTATGTAGAATTGTAGCCATTGTAGTAGTCAACTTACAAAACTATTTCATACTTTTCTCGGAACACATCGAAATCGAAAATATGCATAAAATGTTTATGTGCAAAGAATTTTGTAAAGCTGTAATAGGTGGAGAAACTATGCCAGTCGATGAATAAATTTGGAGAAGGAGAGACGAAATTAGGTTATTGGGTAAAAAGATGAGTGCAAATGTTTTTTGCCGTATACATTACGTTTTAGAACACTATGGGAGTAAGTTATTCTATAGCTTTCACACGTAATCATCTAAATAACTTACCGAAACTTAGTAGGGAACAGCTCAACGGCCACAGCATTCATGAGCCCAATACAGGCGCCTGACATTTGGAACACGGCGAACAGAACCACGGCTAGTTGCTGGTTATACGCAAGATGGGCACAGATCCCACAGATGCCAGTGATGCCCAGGATCACCACGAGGATGGGCTTCTTGCCCACATAGTCCACGAGGAAGCCCACGATGATGTACATGGAGGAAAAGACTAGACCGATGTAGATGGAACGCTCGAATGTCGATGTGTGGATAGTGTCGTCACAGATCTAGAAAAAGGAGATATAAATGTCATAACAATTATGTTGACTGCAACTGTGGGAGAGACATGCTTTGGATATATTCAACGCATTTTGTATTTTGTTTGGTACAAACCAAATTATGTGTTTGGTATATTCCTGAGTTAGGTCAGTTACTTGGTATTCTGAATTGGAAACTTAGATAAGTACGATCTCATCGATCATGACTCAGGTAAGTCAATCAGTGAAAATAATTGCTGCACAGTGGGCGCAGTGGCTGGGCAACTGAATGTTATAGGTACACCGTGTCGCGACTTCGCGAGTTCGAACATCGCCTTGTGTTACCCCCTAAACGTTTTTTTCGGGTCTGGGTGGCTTGTGTGCGTTTACGTGGAAAATTACCATAGTTCCATTGGACACTGCATCTCGTCCAGCATCGAGCACGTCACAGATCCTGGTCTCTCCTCCCTCATGATGCGCCAGGGAGTTCAGGATCGATGGGAACCATACGTAGAAACCGTTCGTCCTGAAAAGAAATTTTTATTATACACAATTTACAAGATATTTTAAAAATTTTTTAAGGACGTTTTGTTAGGTTAGTGAAATTGAACCACTATAAGTAAAGACTGTTAAACGATTTAAAGTGTGGAAGAACCGTACTGCGGCACAAATAGTCTTCTTAGCATTCTGAAAGGCATATCCCCAATCCACAAAAGGCCAGCAACACACATCTTTGGTGTTGTAGGTATGACTAGGCGATGTCGATTAGTTACCATCAGGTGATCCGTCTGCTCATTGTTGATCTATCCCATGAGTCCCATTAGTCGTAGGGGCCCGGAGGTTAAAGCGCCCGCTTCTCATGCATGAGAGTGACCAATATGACTTTTTCCGAGTTATATGTACTTTCTATGATTATTTAGAGACCACTGACATACGATGAAGGGAAACAACCAGTGAGGAAACCTGGACTATTTTCTAAATATAAGTTTGAAATTGCCAACCCGCATTGAGCAAGCGTTTTGATTAATGCTCTAACTTTCTCCGTATGAGAAGAGACTTTTGCTCAGCAGTGGGTACTTATAAGCTGAAGATGATAATGATGATGATCCCATGAGTTAGAGATCTTTAATATAAAACTACATCAATTCTATCTTACGTGGCAAATATTCCAAACTGCACGAAGCAAGTGAGAGCAGTCCAGGCGAGGAGAGGGCGCTGGAAAAGAGGGACTGTCTGCTCTTTCATTGAGGTCCAGATGGCAGCGAGACCTTGCACGTTCGAGGTTTTAGCCATCTGATGTTCTACTATCAAGGACTTTATCTGAAAGATAGCGAGTAATATTCGGATTTAATTGGTTTGATTGGGAAATTGCAAAACGATTCAGTTTCATCAGCATTGCAACCTCAGGAAGCCGGGGTGGGTCGGTTAGTAGGTACTTACTCGTATTTTAATAATTAATTGTATTGAAAAGTCAACATGCTTATTTTTGAATTAAAAAACTGTCTGTTTTCCTCTTATGAATACGGGGTCTGGGATGAAGAAGCTAATTCTTATGATAATCAGACCATTGATTTAAAACTTTAACGGCCTTATTACAAAACAAGATTTTACTTTAGTCTAGGACTAAACCATTGAGCCAGTTTTTGTATTTCGAATTGAAGGTAGATGGCAATAAGATTCAAAATTCTAAACCCAACTCAATGGTTTCAACCTGGACTAAAGATTAATCTTGTTTTGTAATAAGGGGATAAAAATTTTATTCACTTGTTGCAAATCAAGAGAGTTTATAAAATTAAATTATGTTCTACATATATTAAGAAAAAAGGTTCAATAACACTGCAGATTGCAGTTGACTGCATTTAATTCAGATAAATTATTATAAAGATAACAACTGAATCTAAGGGCATTGAACCTGATTGAAAGTTAAAATATTTTTCTGTCTTCAATGTCGAACAAGTAAATACTGATAATAAAATGTCATCTTTTAGTTAAATTGAAATAAGAAATTATCTTTGCCAATATCGCTCTAAAGCTTTTGTTATATTAATATGATGTAGAAATTCTATCATTATTCAAACAAGGTAGGATAGGCTTGTGTTATTTTTAGTTAAAATGTCTATTCACTGAAATTTTTATAAATAGAAAAATTACCGAAAATTAATTGAAAATAAAGGCTTACTCACGCGATTAACCGACTAAAGCTCTACTAGTTTCGAAGTCACAATGAGACCTTTGTTCTTTTTTCTTCTTAAAAAAATCGTTGCCATACCCTAGGATTATTTCCTTTGTCAAGGGTGCGTTTACAAACATACAATTCCACATATACATCACACCCAGACCCGGAACAACATATTCTGGATCACACAAAGAGTTGTTCCAGTCACCGCGCCAATCGTGCAGTCAGATTGGAACAGTTTGCCGGCTGCAGTCTTTCCGTCCGGATACAATTTAGGTGTCTTCAAGACTAGAGTGAATAGGCTCTTAATAAACTAGTGCGCCTTACCATCAACGATTGCATCTCTGCTTACCATCAGGTGGGATCGCAGTCAAGCACTAGTTTATTGCAAGTAAAAAAAAAGTCAAAATCACGTGAGTAAGACGTAATTTTCAATAAATTTTGTATTCCACACGACTAGTTACTATATTCAAAAGTATTACCGCAGTTAGAACAAAGAAGGCAAATTACTTACAGGAAAAGTGTCAACATCTTTCTTGGTGTTTCTATGGTAGATCCTTTTCACCACATCCAAGGCCGCATCGTAGTTGCCAGTCGCGAACAGGAACTTGGGGCTTTCTGGTGCAAAGGCCAGGAGTACGGAACCCAATGCAAAGGGTAAAGCGCAAGCCACCACTAATAGACGCCATGGGCGGTACTCGATGCCCAGAATCGAGATTGGGTAGGCAAACTCCAGTGGTAGGATAAGCCAGGATACACCTGAAGATATTAAGATAGATTTATGTAAAGAGAAACATTCTTCGATAATATATCACTAATGGGAACTGACAAAAGAATCTCATAAGCAGCAAAAATAAAAAATAAATCTTTGAAAAACATATTCTTTTGCTATTACTTTAAAAATGGAAAATATGTAATAACTAAACGCCTGTTCTTTTTTTTCGTTTTGTTCGTTGTCTTGATATCAACAGGCGTAGATAATGTGGGCAAAGAAAATTTAAGTACCTAAAACCGTTTCAACTCCTATGCATCAGGATCTAAAGCAAATACAACCTCGAAAAAACACTGAAGTTTGCTGCGTTACAGGGACCTTAATAAATGTCTTGTACCTATACCGAAGTATAAGTATAATTTTATTATTTTAAGGGAAGAAAACGAAAAAGTTCCTGTTTCCTTTTATCTAGTTAATAGATTTAATCATCATGAACATAGAAAAAGAGAGTTTAGTATTTTTGGTTTCCGAGTCGAGGGAAATGATGATAAACCCACTGCTCATAATATACTTACATGGCAAGATGACGGTGCCAATGCCGACGAAGGAAGACCCGAAGGCGACCATCTTGTCTCTATGGCGCAGGTTATTGAACTCGCCCAGATATGTGTACACCACTGCTGATGATCCAGACATACTGGAAAATGAAATAGGTATGTGAAGTTTTTTACGCTGACTATGTGACGTTTTTTAGATAGACTTAGATTTGGATAACACTATAATAATGAAGATAGGAGCACTGAACCTAAATGTAAGAAAAAAATATAGCCAAAAGTTAAGACTGATTTATAGTGTGAAGAATAGCAGAAAATAAAGAGGTTGTAAGTTGAAACAATAATGATGGGGATGGAGAATGGGAAAACAAGGACATGCTGCATGACTTAGCATCCAAGTTCCCACGATACTTATATTATGTATAGGTCAAAATCGGTCTAGCCGTTTCAAAGATTAGCCAGAACAAACGTACTGGCAAGAATCGTGTGTTGTTGTTGTACATATATACCGTACCTATATTGTAGTATTTGTGTGTATATGCACAGAGACTCTGTAGGTATATATGTATGTATGTATAGATAGATGTATAGATTAGGACAGCGAAAACAAAAAGAAATATGCTTGGTATAGGCATTCTTGTTAAGTTCCCCTTTACAATGTGTAGTTTTCAGTTAGTGAAACAGTAGGTATAGAAGGAAGTGATTATAGTAATTATGGATTACCTTAATGATGTGACTTATCATTTAATCTAAGTTTGATTGAATTGAAGTTGTTTGTACAAAGATTTTCATTAAATATTTAATTTCATCAATGTCTGTAGATAGTCCGGTGCTGATGAGGCAGTGCCAAAAATGGTTCTAAATGGCTTAAACTCTATTCCCAGGTGCAACAAAGTATTACGATCGGTTTTTATTTAAATTCTCATTATTTGAAACTGAGAAAAGGACGTGATATTTATTTATAGAACTTTATAGAAAACTGGCGTGAAACAAAGCCTACGTTGGGTTCCGCTATGTGAGTAAGGTTACCGGAGGCCCAATCCTTCCCCCTCTCCCATACCCAATCTTCAAATACCTCAAACCCTGACCGCCAACGCCTTGACTTGGGCGGCAACGCACTATTTAATGTTGCGGTTATCGACAAGCTTACCATCAGGCAATAAAAATTAGAAATAGGTACTTACAAAATGGCGGATAAAAAGACCAGGATACCAAAGGAGATGACATCTGGCGCAAAACTGGCGAATGCTGAGAATACGGCAGATATCATCATGGAGAATAGCATGACTGGTCTCCTGCCTTGAGTGTCTGCCAACCAGCCCCAGAGGTAGGATGTCAGGATTATAGCTGCAATAATATATGAAGGAATTAGTAGGGAAAATTTAAGGTTTACCATTGTCGGGTGGCTTAAAGTTTACGGCGCCTGCTAGTACCAATGTGACTTTTTCCGAGTTATACATATCTACTTTCTAAGCTTATTTAGGCGCCACTGACATACGGTGCAGATAAATATCGTGAGGAATCCTTGCCTTATAATTTCTAATTATAAGTTTGAAATTACTAATCCGATTGATTGATTAACTCTCAAACCTTCTCCGAGCAAGAAGAGGCTTTTGATCAGTGGTGGGCACTTATAGACTGATGGTTTATGATGAATTAGAATTGGCTTAAGTAAATACAATAGAATAATTTCGAATAAATGATAATTTTATATTATACTGTGCTCTCGCATACCTACATACAAACATAAAACTTCAACTACAAGATTTAAAAGTTTAAGCACATTTTAAGTCTTTTGTTTTATTATAAATAATAAAATAAATAAAGTAAAAACCTTTTATTTCCCTCAGAAAAATGTACACTTACAATACCTTTTTTTAGTAACAAAAGTTTTAAATACTTATACAAATAAAGTTAAATAAGTTACCTAATAAGTTAATATTACCAGTTTTATTTCATTTTGTTTTATTTATCCTCACCTAAGAAAGGAATTGCAGACAGCCACCCTCGCTGCTGCAGCGTCAAATCCAAGTCACATTGCGCAGCGGGCAGGATGTACCCCAAAGCCAAACTCTGCATGATCATACCCAGGAGTATCACGCCAGACATCAACATATGGGATATGTTGTATATGCCGAAACCTGGAAGCAAAGGTTATATTTAATTTTGTTTGAAGACTAGATGTTCATTTTTAATTTTTGCCCTAGTCTTCACTCCCGGTCTACCCCTACCTAGCAGCCAGATCCTCAGCAGACGGATTACCTGATGGTAAGCCATCTTCACCGCCCATGATCACCCGCAACACCAGAGGAAACACTAGTGCGTTGCCGCCTTTTTGGGGATAAGGGTTTCGGAGCTTAAAGGTTTGGGTTGGGAAAGAAAGGATGGGGAGGGGTAGGCCTCCGGTAACCTCAGCCACCCAGCGAAACGCAATGCTGTGGTTGGTTCACGCCAGTTTTCTGTAAGGCTTTGGTATCACTCCGGTCGAGACGAAGTTTGGTTCTCCTACACTTACTTTTACTAACAACAACAACTACACTATGGGCATGTTTCGCTGTGTGAGTGATTAAAGCAGTGACACATTATTTCTGGCTGCACCTCCTACCATTAAATTTTAAAAAAATCCTCAAAATCCCGGTTATCCCAACAATAAGCTCCAGTGTTCCGTCGATAGCCGACGCCAATTGCTTCCCATCAGATTAAAAGTCTGCTTGTTTACTGCCCTTAACCATAAAATACCCACGTGATAAAATTTCCCTGGATAGGTACTGGTGTTTATATTATTTAACAAACTTGTAGTAATATTAAATAAATATTATTATCATATGATATTCATCAGACGTGGGGTTTCCCTAATCAGTGAGTTTATTTAACTTCAACCAGATATTAAATGTGTGTCGCACCAAACAAATATTTGCTTAACAAAAACGCAAAACAATTACGCATTCGTATTACTGACGAACTGAATTAAATTGCGTTGGTAATACAAATAACAAGTAATGTTTTTATCTTTGTGCTGCGTCAAAACGTGGTCCTAATTTGGTCCTAAAGGCCTGAAGTTCTTGTTGCATGATTTATTCTAGCAGGTAGAAGACAACAAGTATTTTTAATCATATAAACATGGCCCTGTACTAAGATCCGTCCGGGGGTCCGTTCTACGCAGTGCAGTATTTCTATAGGCGGCGCTGCAGTGCATTCAGTCTGAAGCATGATACTGGCAGATTTGCGAATAACAATGTCGCTCGACGGCTAGAAGTATGTATAAGGTTCGTAGCTTGCCCATGGCCGCGTAAATAGAAATAGAAGATCTTCGCCTTTGTCGTGGTTACTTGGTAAGTATACAAAGTCACATACACATCAGACATAGACTCGAAATAACAATCTGCGGATCACACAAAAAGTGGTCCTTCGAGTCTCAAAGTAAAACGAGAGTAGCTTTTGTCGGCGACTTCGTTCACGTAAAATAGTGACTTCCAGCAGATTTTGGGTATAAAAGACTATCCTAAATGCTATCCTATGTCTTTTCTCGAGTTCCAAATTATGTCTGTACCAAATTTCACACAAATCGGTTCAGAAATTTGGGCAGAAAAAAAAACAGACAGACAGACAGAGTTACTTTCACATTTATAATATTAGTTTGGATACTGTGTCCGTCTTTGAGTTACATACAAACCTAGTAATTGTGCACCCGCATGTGGAACATTGCTCCATATACTGACAGATCAATTTGTAATAATTATATCGCATATATTGTGTTAATAGGTTGCGGGTTGTAATTGTTCTATTGAGGCTCAATGAGACGCAGTCTTTCTTCATGGTTTTTTCCTTTATTAAGGATCGAATACCTAATATTCTAAAGTAGATGTAGATCTGATCAGATAATTAAAAAAGAAACACACACAATATAACTATGTATTAACATCCTGTTATCTTGCGTAGTTTTTGCGTATTTTAAGAACAATTTATTAAATAATTTAACTCTCTGGGTGCGTTTACAAATATTAAATTTCACATACACATCACACTATGACCTGGACCAACAATTTGTGACCGACTTGATAAATATACCTTCTGACGTGTAAATTTGAGTATACTTTAGAGACACATTAGAGAATTCTATTAAAAAAGACTAAGAGTTGAAGATTAAGTTAAATGACCTGAAATAAGATGTTGACTGGATTCTTTCTTTAATGTACTTATTGGGTTGAGCTGTTAAACTTGTATAGATTTTTCTAAATAAATAAATTGGTTGGTTGGCAACCATTAAATAATTATCTTCTATTTAAAATTGTTTATCTGCATCACAACTGGGTACCATCTGCAGCTGAACATTTCGTCATGCAATCTTTGTTGTCTTTATCTAATATGGTACGGGTCAGTCGGTGGCCCTGATCACAAATAGATTATTTCCATTTACCGCGGTTTACAGTCGATGAACAATATTTTGATGGATAGGCTTATAAGGTACATAGGTATTTATTTAGGTGTTTATTTAGAGCCGGTTAGAAGTTTTTGAGGGGGAACATCAAACCCATCCCCTCATAAGGGAACGTGGAACTCTTTTAGGTTCAAAATCACCCTATTTCTTGTCTTGCTCTGAGCCGGAGCCGCTGTATATAATTGCGTCTGCACCTAATTTCTTTAAGCTTTGATTTCCATTATAAAGTAATGACATGAAACTTAAAAATTACTATGTATACAACTAGACCTATCTATCAAATATAAATTGCTCCGCTGGAACTTAGCAGAGCACTCCGACGTCTGGTTCCTATGTTAGAACAGACTGGGGTCGCGCTCAAGGCTCAAGCGGCTCCTTCCCAACCTGGATGGCTTAAACGCCTCCCACCGGAGGTTAGATTTGAGATGCTATAAAGTTCGCACTCACCACTTAAGGGGAACATGACATGCACTTAATATTTGTCCCAAGTCATCTTGATTCTAAATCTACCACTGCTAACTAAAATGACCATGAGGACTTATCCCACACTCAATTAAAAACGTTTTCAATTAATTACACTTATCACAATTAATAAAGTCTCTTAGAAAATATTGCGATTTTAACAAGAATACTTGATCAAACTTTGCTGCCTTCGAAGAAGATTAAACTAGATTTCTCTGATCTCCGGTTGAGCAGAAAGCTTATGTGTAGGCAGACCATTTAACACTGGTTATTATAGTATGATGTGTGCTTACTTGACTGTCTTTCAACTAAAGACACAATAAACTCAGATTAATTTGATCTCCAAATGAATGAACCTTGTACTCTATAAGACTGGGCTTTGTCTTAACTGATGTAATTGAGGATCGTTATGAGTTAAGATAGTAGTCTGTTAATGATTTTGCAGTATTTCCAAGTCTTTAGACGCCAGCGCAATCGTTGCATCGGATAAATCATTTCGTTATATACTATTAATTATAAACTAATAATGAGTGAATAGGCTCTTAATAAACTAGTGCGCCTTACCATCAACGATTGCATCACTGCTTACCATCAGGTGGGATCGCAGTCAAGAACTAGTTTATTGCAAGTAAAAAAAAAATTTAACCTCTTGATACAGTTCCTATGTATAATAAAGGAATAAAAAGTACCTATTATAGTTTTTTAGAGGTCAAATCAGGGGGTGATGGATGAGTGATCGATACTGATGCCGAAAATGTAATCTGTAAAGTTTTTGTCTGTCTGTATGTTCGTTATAGAACCAAAAACTACTCGATAGATATTAAAGAAACATGGTACAATTATTCTTTATATTCCTGGGCAGGTTATAGGATACTTTTCATCACACTACATTTAATAGGAGCAGAACAGTGAAGAGAAATGTTGGGAAAACGGGAGAAGTTACTCCCTTTTTTATGTTTCCGTCGCGTGTGTAGCATTAATGGTTAAAGTTACATAGAAATGATGCATCACGGAAATATTCTACATAAAATTACTTACAAAACATCCTTCAAAAGTATATGTCTAGCTTTTATGTTTGACTCAGAATAACACGTGTAATGCCTGATGGCATTCTGATTATATTTAAGGACATAGGATAGTTTCTATCCCGGGAATTCAAAAGGAGAACTTCCCGAAAATCCTACGAGATCGGGCACTATGTGGGTAATACCAAAAATCTGCCAGCACCTACTTATCTACGCGGACGAAGTCGTTGGCAGACACTAGTTAATAATAATAATCATTTTTTTAATATTAAATATGCCTATAATTCAGCACTGACTTACATAAATCACCACAATATTCTTCAGAATTGCCACATTGTGATTGTTGAATACAATAGGAAGTAAAGTTAAAAGGTTTGTAGAGTTTGTTCTCAATAATATCACTAAAGTTAACCAGAATGCCCATTGCGGTTAAACAAAGCACGTAAGGACCAAAGGTTATGTTTACAAGTGACCCATCAAACGACCGCAGACCACTCGATTATTTATTTTATTAACTTAAACGTCTATCGTAGATACTTGAAAATATTTTGCAATGCTAGTTAAAAACAATAACAATGTTGATGTCACTTACCCGATAACAGCATGGCGTCATCGAGCGAGGCGGCTGCTTTATCCACCTTCATCCCATTTTTGTCCGTTGACCCGTTCATGGCCATATCGATTTCTTGAAGCTGTGAAAGAACGGCAATGTATGTTAAACATATCGAAATAACTGTATCCTCATCAGCCCATTGCTCAACTTTCAGCTCTTCGCATCCGACCGTAACCCTCTAACACTATAGGCGACCTAATAATTATTTGACAAAATAGTTTAAATAGACGCCGTTCGTATTTTGGTCTTTTGATACGTGAAAAAGCAATGAATGACAAAATATTACATTATTTCGATTTTACAAGAATATGAATTTAATAGGAATATAACGTATTGTTACACCTGGAGGTGGGATATCAATGTCGAAACTCATCGCTTGAGAACATGGTTAACCGAAATTACTCTTTTTCAAAGATAGAGAATAAATGAAGAGTTAATTGAAACCAAAGCCTCTAATAATACAATCGAACCAGGTGTCATGTTGTTGTTGGTAGTGATAAAATTAAGGAAATTAAATATATATGGAGTAAAAAACTATCAATCAAATATTTTTTGGTATTTTTTGGTAAAAGAAACCTTGCTGTAGGTACTACTTGTGCTTTAAGTAAGATGATGCGTCAAAATATATCTTTGTTTTGAGAACAAGAATGATTAGCTAGCTCATGAGATGACGACGTTTCATAACCAACGGACAATTAACATTTAATTGAACGACCGGCACACATATGTACGTACGCACAACACTTAAAAAAATAAACATTACAATACAAAGCTGAAACAACTCGATTCCTGAAAACGTTGATCAATCAAATAAGAAAAGCTCAAAAAAAAATCGGTTATGCACCCAACAACGACAAACACTATGTGACTTCAACATAAATTCGAAGCGGTGATGTAAGGATTTTCAGCTGAAAGCGGGTTTTTGAACCGATAGGTGGCGTTTGGGTTACCTCAACATCTTGAACGATGTTATATTCATAGTTTCTGTGTGCCGCCATATTTAAGGTTTTTTCTTCAGTCTATTCCAGACCTAGAAATGTCAAGATCAATGTTTTGCTACACTATACAAGAAAATTATAACGAGGAATGAGGTGATGGTAGGTCGAAATTATTAAAATATATGTTGAATACTTCTTGAAAATGGTCTTGACGATAGATACTAATTTTGAATTCGGTAAACTTATCAGGTTATCTAACGTATAAGATTTTCAAACATCTGATCTATACTAATATTATAAAGAGGTAAAATTTGTAAGTTTACATGTAGGGGGTAATCTTTGGAGCCGCTGGTTGGATTGCCAAAATTCGTTCACTGATAGATAGCTACAATATTCCTGAGTGCTATATGCTATAAAACATCACGCTACGATCAAATGGAGCAGAGCAGCGGGTGAAACCGCGCGAGAGTAGCTAGTATTTTATAAAAGTATCTACGCTATACAAACTTTGGTCCTTACGACCATATGAAGGACCAAATTAACAGAAAAAGAAGTTCAATATAGAGGCTGATAAAAGTTTTTGTTTGAATATAGAAAAAAAAATGTGATTTCCAATATTATTGTTATGAAATAAAACAAAAGTTAATATTTATTTAATATATGTAAAGTCTTTTTAATTGGTAAGTAAATCCCTGTATTTACAATTAACGCCTCCTGACTACCTACAATATGACTAAGTGGCGTCTTATCATTAATTACGGAAGTATTAAAGCATAATTTTTCACCTTATCTTGTTTTCAAGAAAGTTGGTTTCATTCAATACTTAGTAATTTTTGCAAACTAGAAATATTCCATTGAATTATATTTTAAACACACGCGTGGTATATATAACATGTTTGTTAAGATGATAATTATTATATTTTTTTCTAGATTTTGCGTATTTTTGTTCAGTCAAGGTAAATAGGGTACATGTAAACAAATATTACGTCAAGCAGTATATGTAATGACTTGAGGAAAACCTATGACGGATTATCTTGCCGTACAGATAATCATAGATAGATATAATTTCACGTTCACATTATTTTTTATTTTAATTTCAAGTATCTATGCAAAGGACGTGTAACAAGGATATTATTCACACAATCCATAGCTAGGTAATATTGGTTTTATTACGTAACTAGTTGAATAACAAATATGTTATATTGTTTGATTTCCGTATTTATATTAATTTAATTAGCCCCCCCCTGCTCTCTACGATTGTCCAATTATCTAGATAACAACGAAAGGACCGCTATTTCCAAATTATACTTTAACACATCAATAAAAAGAATTGGCAAAATTGGTACTGAGTTATGCGTTTACATTTTTCGATTCATTTTTATACATATAACATTATATTAATATCATATATAGGTACCTATTGCATTCTTAATAGAATATCGAAGTACAGAAGTAAGTCATAAAAAAAGCGCGTTTGAAAATTGGACCTTATCATAAAAACATATTTTTTTTTAATTCGAATACCTTCTTGTATGAGTTAGGACTCTTTTCTATTAAACCTATAATATAATTATTTATTGCTACAAAGAGAGATAAAGGGAAGTCCATACGAGAACTAGACAAGATAACCAAATTTTTTAACATGGATGTAAAATGAAATGAAAATAATCGATTGAAAATTACTTACAACTAAGACACATGATATAAATTTCGCAACTCCGAGCACTAATCTAGATAGCACTACGACAAGACTGATGTAAAATTCAATTAAATAAAGATTATATACAGTTAAGTATGAAAATTAACACATTGATAATAGGTAATATATTTGCTGAAATTACTTAATTGTTACGAATATCGCCATTACGTATAAGATAAGGTATCTATTACACGGACATATATAAATTATTGCGGTCACATAATAGATTATTGACTTTACAAGGAGATCCCAAGGTTTCTTTTGAAGGGCAGATGATTTATCAAAATGCTTGCATTGATTTCGATGTTTTATCAATAAGACCGTTATTTAATCAAGTGTGGGGGACCCATGCTTCGGCACGAATGGTTCGGCTCGACCGAAAACCGGCGTGAAATAACTACAGTTCTGTATTTCGCTGTGTGAGTGAGACTGGTGTCGTCGTGGTGGTCCGGAGGTTAAGGGGCCCGCATCTTATGCATAAGGGTGTGGGTTCGAAACCTGGCAAGTACCAATGTGACTTTTTCCGAGTTATATGTATTTTCTATGATTATTTAGACACCACTGACATACGGTGAAGGTAAACATCGTGAGGAAACCTGGACTTATAATTTCTAATTATAAGTTTGAAATCGCCAACCCGCATTGAGCAAGCGTGGTGATTAATGCTCTAACCTTCTTTGTATTAAAAGAGGCCTTTGGTCATCAGTGGGCACTTATAGGCTGATGATGATGAGTAAGACTGGAAACCCAACACTTCCCTTCCGGGTGTCGTGTCGTGTCGCGTGCTGTCAAATGTATGAACCCGGGGTTTTCTATTGTGAGATGCCGCGCCAAACTTGTTCTTTTTAGGTGATAGGACGGCAGGCAATCAAACATAAAACATCGTGAGGAAAACCTGGACTTATAATTTCTAATTAAAAGTTTGAAATCGTCAATCCGCCTCGAGCAAGCGTGGTGATTAATGCTCACCTCCGTGTGAGAAGAGCCCATGGCTCAGCAGTGGGCACTTATAGGCTGATGATGATGATGGTGACGGCAAACTAGCAGGATTACCCGATGTTAAGCAATCAGCACCGCCCACAACAACGGAGAAAATACGAGAGCGTTGCCGATCTTTTAGGGGATAAGGGATTTGGAAATTTTGGGATTGGGGAGGGATTGAGAGAGGGGAACAATTGAACCTTGTCGAAGCATGGCTCTCCGACCCTTAATCTCACAAGTGTGTCTTTAATCTTATGACTTCAAGAAATAAACTTCGTTCATAATAAATATCTGAACCCTCAAATGGTCTTAATATCATAATTTTACTTGGAACATAAAAGTGGAAGTACCAGTAAACTCCGGAGCGTTGCGTAGTTCCATAATTTTAGGGCCTTCTTGTATATTCATGGGATAATCGACGTCACTTTGATGACGTCAGCTTTCATATTATCATAGCAATTCCGGTAGGCCGTATATGATATTCATGGTTTATGAGATGATAAATTTCGATGATGTAACCGTGGTTATTAAAGAACTCTTTATATTCTGACTCGGTTGGTGTTAATTCAGCGCAAATTCTCGCGAATTCAATTTTCGCAAAATAACTCTTTGTGTGATCTACTACTTAAGTTGCTTTTTCAGGTCTGCGTGTGATTTGCGCGTACTATATTTTGAAACGCACCCACGATACAGGGGAGATTCCTAGTATGGAGCAAAATAAAAAAATGTATGTAGACAAGCAGAGGACGGTTGACTGTCGTAAGGGGTATTAAAACTGTAGGCCTACCATGACGAGAAAGAGGGATGGAGCTATACACCTTTTATAGCTCCATCTCACTTTTTCGCTCGGAAGATTGACGCTGGCTGGGCAACTGGCTGTCGCGCAACGTGTCGCGGGTTCGATTCCCGCACGGAACAACTCTTTGTGTGAACCACAGATTGTGTTAGATGTGGGTAGTTTTACAACTGTTCTCTCAAATCCAACTTCTTCTGCAGCTATTGCCTTGATTAGGATATTCACGCATCAGTGAGACTATGAGTCTTTAATATGATAGATGTAAGTTAAAATGTCCTAACGGGGTTGACATGTGTTAGAACAAAAGCCCCTAAAACTATAGATTAAAAAAAAAACAAAAAAAACCACAGATTGTTTTCCGGGTCTGGGTGTGATGTGTATGTGAAATTGTATGTTTGTAACCGCACCCAGGACACAGCAGAAAATACGAGTGTTGGCAACGTTTTTTTTTTTAAAAAATAATGGAACATTTTTTTTAATTAAAAAAAATCATTTAACACGTGATGGTAGGCCCTTTGGTATTTTACGCTTGCTTTAGCTGAACTAGTGTTTACGGTCCACAAGGACCAAGATGATACAGGTATTTAATTAAGGATGTTTAAGCGTTTAGGCTACATGCACTATAATAAAAATGTTATTACATCACATCATCAGAATATAATTGATCATTGCTGAGCAGAGGTCTCTTCTCATACGGAGAAGGTTTGAGTAGTAATCACTATGCCTGCTCAATGTGGATTGGTTATCTTAAACGTAAGTCCAGGTTTCCCCACGAACTCAGAAAAACGTTTGATTGACATTGATGGTTGCTATTTAATTAACGTAGTTTTGAAACCATTGTTTGAAGTAAAAGAGTTTTTAATATCAGTCACGAATAGAGGATGTAAAAGCAAGCCCTGAGCAAGAAAAAAAGATGAATATTAAAAAAGTATAAGTTTCAGTTACTTGTTAATGTGTGCATACTATTTATATTTTTAGAGCTGGCCGATTAACGATGATTAAAACAATTTAACCTTACAACTAAGATAGCTAATGATAGCCATGTTATGAAATTGCATCACTCGTCAGTTTGCGACCCTTCGGAGCAGGTAAACAGAGTGCTATCTTAAACGTGACGGCTTTATTGAAAGGTTTCAGATAATGCCTTCTCAGCCAAGTTCACCTAAAGGTTAATGCACTTTTTAAGATTATATTTCACCATTTTTTCTATTTCCAATTCTCAATTTCGAAGTCCGCATTTCACAAATCTCTTATCCCCAAACGACAACAGCGCACTCGTTGTTTCTCTGGTGTTGTGGGTTTCTATGGGTGGCACTGATAGCTTACGATCAGGCAATATGAAGGAGCATAATTCCGCGTACAAAAAATTGATGGAAGAAAAATTTTGTCTTCGGTATTAAGTGTTATTATTCGGTATTAAGTTATTGTGCAAAAAAAGTATGTACCTATCTAAAATACATAATATTTCATATTTAGTTGCATATTTAAGATTTTTAGATACTAAAAAGAAATTAGGTATCATTAATATTGGACGCTGGCTTCCATAAAATAAATGAATGTGACATTTTTTTGTAAATAAAACTATGTGTGCGTGTTAAACTCGCGCTTGGTCGGTTTTTGTTTTGGGTTCTTTATTACACATAACACTTTATTAAATATCACATCACATCATTTCTTCCCTGAAAAAGTAAGTAGAATTTTATATTGAATTATCCACTGCTCATAAGTAAGAATAATAATACCTAAGTATCTGTTATCTGCATCCACTTCTTATTGGTAAAGCAAAAATATAAACTTGAACCAAAGTTATGTGATTATACGAGGTGACACAAGTCTAGATTGATTAGCTTACAATAAATAATGTTTTTTTCATGTGAACACGAAAATAGATCAATGACGGCACTGTTTTAGTGCTGCATTAGAAAATATTTTTGTTTGAAGTGCAGATTCGGTTAAATTGATATTTGTGTAATATACCTATTACATTATTTAAAAATATTTTTCACAGTAACATTTTGGCATTATTATTAATATAAAATTTTCTAATCAAACTACACAGGAAGGTCAACAGACCAGCATACTGTGTAACACATTGGATATAATCACAACTTATTAGACCCACTGTCCTATTTTCTGCAAGTTATCAATCAAATGTTGTAATTAAATATTATGAATTGTCGTTAATGTAGATAGTGAAACAATTAATTAATTGCTTACGTTAATATTAATTTAATAATCTTTAGTAATTAATTTTATTAAAATAAATACTGTTCGTTCATTAAAAAAAGTTTACGATAGAAAAAATATTTATTTCTTTTTTCAAACTCAGCTGTCATCCACCATGATGTCACAAATTCCCGCGCTTTTTATCGTTCTTTTTTTATATTCCTTTTCTTTCGGATTTGAATCAGTAGTCTATGGTTATTTTTTTTTATATTAAAATATCACTTTGGGTGTACTCACTTTATTGAAAATAATTAAGTAGTAGAAGCGCGCGCGGTGCAGTTCATGCTATGCCACTGTACATTACACTGATTACTTTCAACTGTCTCGCGTCTGTTTTATTTCGGCCAGCATCGCCGACAAATAAGCTAATGATAAGAGTTCGCGGACCTATTCGCTTGAACTTTCAGTGCTTTATGTATCAACAAACTGGCAATTTTGGTATTATCAGCGTTACTAATATTATAATATTACCTAATTTAATTTAAGCATTGTTACGAAATAAGTTAATACAATATAAATTTATAAACTTTCAAAATATTATATGTTTGGTAAATACATGCGGAGAAAAATTTTATTGAAATTCAAAATATAAAAAACAAAAGAAGTCTAATCGCAATGTCTTGCTCTCTTGCAATACAATATGAAATACAAAAAAAATATTTTTGGTTTTCTTTAATATTGAGTCAAAGATGAACATTTGTCTAGAAATGCATAAGACTTAAAAGAAAAAGTTGCGCGGTAAAACTCTATGATGTGTAATGACAGCTGTGTTTTTTTTTGTTGGTGTTAACTTTATTAATGTTAATATGTGCGTAGATTAAGTCTTGAGATCTGCTGATGTAAGTAAATTATTATATATGTATCATCATGTTTAATTATATTACAGACGGGGAAATAGTGTCTGTCTATACCTACATATAATAAGTATAATACGATAATTATAATTTTTTTGTTTGGGTTTGTTGTAATTAGGTAAGTTTCGGCCATGATAGTGTTGTCTTCAGTTACAATCCCGATAAATTAAAGGTCAAGAACATGTGATACCGTTCAATGGACAAGAGTTTTCATTAATAGGTACCTATATCTTAAATTATTGTTCAT